TGGATGAGGACTGTACCCAGAAGAATATGCCTACATGCACGCCGCCTTTAGTGAGCATCCTAAGAAGAAGAAGAATTTGTACAGTCCGTAAGAAGTGCATGTAGATAAGGACTGTACTCACTCACACGGCCAGGGTTCCGAATCCATGCCTCAACCGAGTCCGATCGGCAGAGAATAAGAAAGAAAGAAAGAAAAGAATAGAAAGAGAAGAATAAGAAAGAAAGAAAAGAATAAGAAAGAAAGAAAAGAATTGAAAGAGAAGAGAGAATAGAAAGAAACGAAAGAACAGAAAGAAATAAGAGAAATAGAAAGAAACATAGAAAAAAGAGAGAGAGAGAGAAAACAGAAAAGAAAATGCATATCATATGCATTTGTGCATTTGCATCATACTTATGCATAATACTATGCCTACTATCATGAACAGAGAGAAATTAAAAATAGAGAAAGAACAAAGAAAGAACCGAGAAGAATAGAAAAGTGTAATGTAAGGAAAGAAAATCAGAATATGAGCAACGGAGATAGAAGGGTAACATAGCGGATTTACTTACTAAGCAATTAGTGCTCACTCCGCTGATTTCTCTGTTTTTGCAGGAAATAGGTGAGAAGCGTTCAGATGGAACGTCGAGAGTGGAGGAGAATGGCACTACTGGCCACTGTTTTTAAGTTTATGTATATGACCCTTTTATTAATGTAAAGAAATTTTTGGGCCCACTATTTTCTACTTATATACCTATATGTTTTTATGACATATTTAGTGACTTCATATTATATTTCCCAAAGTGTACTAGCTAGAAAGAGTTATTACACACCCCCAATGGTTCGTATCCTAAAAACCTATTCCTTACAGAAGTCTAGCCATAAACACCCACCATTATCATTTGGTTAAGTTGTCCACGAAACAGAAAAAGGAAAGCAATGGAAGGATCTTCCTTACCTTTTTGGCTGTGGGAGGCGAACTTTTTACTATTAACGGAAAGAGCGCACCAACTTGAAGGATTGAAAATCTGGTCTCGCGAGAGCTTTTTTGCTTTTTCTGAAAGTATGAGTGTTGTGGCATTGCTTAAGGCGAGCCTGGGGTTTTATAGCGGAGGAAATGACAATCGGTCTTCCCGAAGCCAAGCGACGTTTGGGCAGAATGCGTCTCTCGCCGTTGATCGCGACCACGTGTCATTAATCGGCGAGAAGGAGTAACCGTCACGCTTTGAGAAATTCAATCGCGCGTCTCTCCGTTGAAAAAATCAAGCGACGGCTTGATTCTCTCATCTGCATTTAATGCCCTAATAAGGAATGTCATTTCAGCATGGCTTGCATTTAATCGCATGGCTGGCATTTATTGCGCACATGACACATTTGTCAGAATAAAGGATACTTCATTAATGGATTGGCTGTCAAGCGTAACGGATAACATCTGAAGAGATCGTTGGAAAAGAACACTCTTCGTCTCATGTCGGTTGCAAAGCAATGTGATTCCTTGCTTCCAACAGAAATATACCAAGTGTAATCAGGTCGCGGACCTCGGTTAAGATAAGAGGTGCATCGATACGGCACTGAGTAGGGTCTAATCCAGGTCGTCGACTTTGCGAAAAAAGACCATCTTAGGTCGCTCGTAGAAAAATGTTTTGCGACCTCCTTGTAGCTAGGTCGGCTCGACCAGGCGTCATTTGGATATATCAAATCATGGCATAATTATGAAGTTCTCAAGGTTCGATCCTTAAACCTTAAAAACTGGGGGACTTCTGTTTTGCCTGATAAAGTAGGGCTGACGTGGAGCCTCGTCAATAAAGGATGGTCAGAGTTCATAAGGGTTCTGCACCGTCTAGGTGCGGCCACGTCGCGCCTAGTGCAAGTGGCATGGCTCCTGTCAGTGCAGTTGGTGGGTGCCAGGCCAGCAAGCGGCTAAAGATCACCCACGTGTCAAAGCCCTGCTTTAATCAAGGATATCCCTCAGGCAGGTGATCAATGGGACGCAAAGAAATGATTTGCATGGCACCTACCCACTTGTAGCTTTTATAATAATTATCTTGAACTTTCCCACTATAAATAGATGACTTCCTTCTCATTTGTGGGGATTAGCTGATTTTACACTAAAATAGCTCTTTCTCTCTCTCTCTCTCTCTCTCTCTCTCTCTCTAAATTGTAACTCAGCTCACTGAACGCGACATAATTACTCTCTTATTAATACAATAGCAGTGGACGTAGGATTCGCTTTAGAGCATCCGAACCACTTTAAATATTGCTCTTCACCTTTTATTCGACTCAATCCCCTCATATCACGTGTGACTTCTATGTCATTTTACACGTGTGAGTAGTTTATGTCAAAATCAAGCATCAACAATATTGATATGAACTATAATGTATTTTTTCAGATCCAAGCTTCACAAAATTGACATCATTGCTGGCCACGAATTCAAAAAATTCATGCTAGATCAAGCTAGTTTTAGTATATATTAAGTTGAGCATTAGTTAATTATATGTTAACAGAAATAGCTTGGTCTATACATTCCTGACAATAGGCAATTGCTCTGCAACTGCAAGCAACATGCAGCGCGAATCTTTAGAATTCCTGGAGTACCATTGAAAGCAAAATAATGATGATAATTTATTATTATTATTGTTATTTGGACAATATTTCGTGCAAGCCAATATTGACCCATCGTTAATCGAGTAATTAGTCCTGTAAAACCATCTGAATTTGTCGAAACACAGACGTTCTATGATACAAGTTGTTAGATTTCAATTAGGTTTGAGGGGTGTTAAAAAAAAAAATTATATCAGAAGGGAATCTCGTGAGAGAATCTTAATGAAGTATTCGTAAGCAGAGTTGTCTAACACTGCTTTAATTTAGCAAAGATGTTTAATGGAAGAAGTCTAGGTTAAGGCCTTAAGATTCTAACTTTATTAATATCAAAGTCATGCTATAATATCGGGATAATGCGATCCCTCGTAATGGATTACTGGATGACAGAACAATGGAGTGGGTCTCAGCTTGGAGAGTTGCCTGAAAACGCATGCACCTGAAAAAAACTTTCTTCTTGAGGAATATATCTACAACTTGGTATAATTGGTGAAAGGTCTGAGAAAGAAGAGAGGTAAAAATGTGATACAATTTGTGGTTGAGATTTATCTAGTATATATATAGGGAGGTAATGCACATTTTATGGTTGGTGGATACCTTCTCGTGGGTAAATATTCATGGACACAATCTCAGTACTTAAGTGGATTCCAGTCCACATACTCTACTCTTCAACTTTTTTTCTATTACTGGATATCAGCATGCATGAAGTATTACCTTCTCCAATCCATCACCATCTAAGTGACAGTGATGGAGCAAACGCATAGCCTGTAACCCAACATTAATTGTCTAAATACTCTTTAACTGTCGGTGTAAAAAGATGCGTCATTTTCTCAAGAACAAATCAATAAATATATTAATATTTTTCATTCAATTTTAAAATTAATACAATCTAATTTTATTAAATAAATACTTAGAAAATGATTTTTATCATAATGACATGACATTTCATTCTATATAAAACTTTATACTTAATTACCTGTATAAATATATATTAATACACATAAACATCGTATATATAGATATATATAATCATGATTTAAGGTGATTAAGAGTATTTATGGAAGAAAAAAAAAAAACTGTTTTTCAAAATTGATTAGGCTTTTATTTCCTTTTTCTTTCTTGTCCTCTTCCAATCCCAAACCAAACCTCGTCGGTTTACTCTCTTATTCTTTTTCTCCAACGCCAGTATCAGCCATCTGTTGCCAATATTAATCATACGTGCTAGATAGGCCTGAATTCAGTCATAACGCTCACTAGTTGTAAAGGTGCATATCATAATCAATCAAGATTTACTCTAATTAAGAGAAAAGTTAGGAAGTAGGTCACTGCATAGAATATATTCAATTAGTCCCAAAGCTACAGGGTACTTCCCCGCATTGCCTAATTTGATTCGTAGAAGAATTTGGAAAATGTCCATAATAATATTAAATTGTTATAGCTAGCAAGCACCATTCTTTGTCTTATAATGATTTTAACAATTAAATAGAATAAACCACGAAAAAATGGTCGTGGAGTATACATAATTAAGTCCGCAATTAGTTCAATGTTAATGATCCACGTTTTCTTCGACAGAAATTAGGTTCACTGCACCTGTGCTCGTCCCGAGAAGATATATTTTAATTAGCTAGCTAAGGGACTCGCTTATCTCCATATGATTTTTTTCATTTTTTTTTTTTTTTTAAACTTTTGGAACTATCCTCACGTACCAATTGGGCTCCAAAAGGATTATGAGACAAAGATGGTTGTTACCCACCGTGTTGATTTGTTGAACAACCTTGCAATTCACAAGATCTGGCACAAAGAGAAACATCTTCGAAATTTCATATACAACTTGCATTTCTCCAAAGATGATGGTACACAATGACTAGGATCAATGTCGGAAAAACAGGAAAACAATAGACCGTTGATCGTCCAATGAATTTCTTTTAATAAATGCTTATAACATTAATGGTCCATCCTTCTTTTGAACCTAAAACTAAATAGGGCAAAAACTTCATGTATTTATGCATGAAACATGGAAGACAATAGTTAAAAAGAAAAGTAAATATGGATTTCTAAGCTCGGCTCAATTTTGAATAGGAAAAATTAGGAGAAAAGTATTTTAATACATGCTTAGGCATACTTCGATTTAGAGGTGTCATTCTCTATACAAATAAGAGTCAAGATGTGTCCCTACTGCATACAGGGTCTAGCTGTAAACAACTTAAAACAACTCATTATCCATGAGAGTCAGCCGCCCCCCGCCGTTCCAAAAAGTACAGTATTTGATGGATATCTTTCTTTTCAACTTCGAAGCTTGTTGAGTTATTATTATTAGCCCATCACTCAAGTTTTTCTATATATTCAGCATTCATTCACTAATATTTGCAATTGTGAAGAATATATGCACCCTCGCATATATCGCATTACCCAATTCACAACCATCATGAAGGAGATAACCTCTCAGCCCCAGATTGAGCTTGTGTTTGATCCATCCAATAACACAACACAATCACAATCACAATCACAATCACAATCACATTGTGATCCTCCAGTTGCCAAAAAATGCTCATTATCTTTCTCATTAACACCAATCTTGACTAAGTTCCATGCAGGTTACTTCAGGATAAGCCTCTCTTTGTGCAGCCAGGCTTTACTATGGAAAATACTTGGAGAGCCACCACATAATGCGCACGCCCTTCGACAACTGTTTTCCTTTCTACCATCCATAGCTTTTGCTCTATTATGGTCAATAGCTTTGTCCACTTTAGCCTTCCTTTCACTTATTTATATTCTGAGATGTTTATTCCACTCTGAAATGGTGAAAGCTGAGTTCTTGCACCATGTAGGAGTGAACTACTTGTTTGCTCCTTGGATTTCTTGGCTTCTATTGCTTCAGTCATCACCTTTCATAACTCCAAAATCAGTGTACTACATAGTGCTTTGGTGGGTTTTTGTGGTTCCCATATTGGTGCTTGATGTTAAAATCTATGGCCAATGGTTTACCAAAGGGAAACGTTTTGTATCCGTGGCGGCGAATCCCACAAGTCAAATATCGGTGATAGGGAACTTGGTGGCTGCTCGAGCAGCATCCAAAATGGGGTGGAGAGAATGTGCAATTATCATGTTCTCATTGGCCATGGCACACTATCTTGTTCTCTTTGTTACACTTTATCAAAGACTAGCAGGGAGCAATAGCTTGCCAGCGATGCTAAGGCCAGTTTTTTTCTTATTCATTGCAGCACCAAGCATGGCAAGTTTAGCATGGGTTTCCATTTCAGGGACTTTTGACAATGCTGCAAAGATGCTTTTCTTTCTCTCGCTATTCCTCTTCTTGTCACTGGTACGTACGTAAGTTAATGAAGAAGAATAAAATTTGAATAAGGAATTGATTTGAGAATGACGTTAACCGTGTTAATCCCAACAAATAAGCTATAATAGGGTCCATAAAAATCTTACAAGTTGATAATGGGTCCAATTTTAAGTCATTTTCTTAAAAGAAAAAGAAACACGAACCACCAACCGCTGAAGTTGCTAATGCGTCTGCTTTATGATCCCATATGAGTGGAATACCACTGCGTATTACTCACTTTTTTACCTTTATTACAAACTTTTTCTCTTTTAACTAAATTTTGGGTATTATTTTTATTGTAAAAACAGGTTTCAAGGCCGAACCTCTTCAGAAAATCCATGAAGAAGTACAGTTTAGTATGGTGGGCTTACTCTTTTCCTCTTACTGTCTTGGCACTGGCATCCGCAGATTATGCTGAGGAGGTGAAGGGTGGGATGGCTCATGTGTTGATGCTTGGGTTATCAGCACTCTCAGTTCTTGTATCTCTTGCTTTAATGGTATTCTCTGCTACCAATACTAACATGCTCGTACTGGACACGCTTCCTGTTTCCACTACTAATCGTAGCAGCGATAGCCAACAAAGTGACTCTGTCCCCATCCTCTAGTTTGTAGTGTAAATCTAATATTATCTATAGATTATGTATTAGATATGTATAAAAAAGTGTTCCAAAATGTCCAATTGTATGTAGACCTCCATCTTTGATATGTTGTATGCAATTTCTGGCCACATACAATTAAGGAAAAAATCCAGATTGGCAATTGCCATTTAATGGTTCAATAGCATATGTGGGGTTGCAAAAATCAGTCAAATCTTTGCAGAAGTCCAGTTAAGTCAATCACCATTAGTTATACTATGGAATGGATAGCTCTTACGATGAATTAATTAAAAATCTATAAGGCAGTTGCAAACGTTTAATAGATAAGTATGTATCATTGGTAAAAAATAACTGCATGTTAGTCTGGTTAATACAACATTTAATGAAAAAGCAAGTCATCACGCGATCTTCTCTTTAGACCCAAGTCCAACATTTATTTTTGGTGTTCTTCAAAGAGATTGGTTGGGAGTTTAGCGCATTATCTTGAAAACTAACAGACACTGTAGTTTTTTAAATTTTTAATATTTTTAATTAATGGTTAATGTATAAATAATAAAATGATCTTCAGTTCACAGTTAAAAAGTAAAAACAATAGTTTAAAGGTTACATGGCAAAGATGAAAGGGAGATTGAATTTTGGTTTGTTCTATGCGTCAAAACATAGACTAATTGGTTTAGCAGGAGAGGAGACTTCAAGTCTGGTGCCTCAGGTTTGTTTTTGAATTCAAACCTACAAATTAATCAATTAATTTATTGGTTATAAAAGAATTCATTTTCTGAATCTGAGGTTTCTCAATCTTTCTGAAAGTAAGAATAAATGGAAATAAAAAAAATTAACAAAATCTGTGTTTAATTAGACCATCCAAGCTACCACGAAAGGCAGAAGCGTAGAACCCACTTTTAACAACGTCGTTGATCCTTGGTAATTCTTATAATTAGATTATTCTGCCGATGAATTGCTCTCACGTAATTCTTCTATTCGGATAAAAATGGATTCGTTATATGCAGTGCAGAGGGAGAATTATATTGAATAATTTAGAAGAAAGAACACGCAATTAAGCAAATTATGAGAATAAATCCGACGTGTTACCCAGTTTTCACAACATATCTTGTCTCCTTGAATGTACCCATTATCATGGCACAATTTCATCTTTTAAAAAATCAATGAGAGATGCAGTTGATGCAAAGTCAAAGCCAACAACAACCTCAAAAGCAGACACAGACACAGGCGTTCATATTCGCAACCCCACTCCACACCAAAGGACCAAATCATACTTTGTATTTTTGATGCTATAGCGATTCTGGAACTCTCATACTTTTCATCATCTACGGTCAAGGCATATTTATGTCTTAAATCACAACATGCTTTTGACAAAATTATTTGTACATTGTGAATCATAGGATAGGAGCCAACGGTTCTTAGATGTTCAACATTTAAATATGGCTACTCAAACTCAAAGTCCTTGTCTGCTATTTCTCATGTTGATCATCATACCCATTTGGAACCAGTTCTTGAGTTCCTGCTATATCCAGAGAATTGCAGGTGAAGAATATGAGGAGACCGGCCTCAAAACAAATTCAAAGTTCCCAATTTCCATGGTAAACCTCCGTAAATGCTGCCAAGAAATCCGTGGAGGGGAGATAGACCTAATATATGGAGTTTCTTCGAAGAGGACCAAACCCAATTCTTGACATTTACTCTTTATACAGATTTCAGAAATTTATAGCATAATTCTCTAAAATCGGTCAACCAATTAAATATTGGCAGAATTCAAGACATAACTTCTATGATTAAATAAAAGAATAGAAACACGAGTTCAATTCATGCATCATTGCTATCTATACATGCATTATTATATTCCTCTTCTGTTTAGAAACAGCCAAGTCTGAAGGGAAATTCAAGTTCAGCAACCATTTTTTAAGTCTGCAAGTCATAGTTAGACAAACACATTTTTCAAATGGACAGATCGAACTGTTCACTAAATGCATCTTTGAAATCAGAAGCTTTTCTCCCGTTTGATACATGATCTGAATATCTTACCAAAAAGGGGGATGGATGTGTTCCCAGGAAGGCTGAGAGGAGCATGGAGTTAGGACAGGGAGATGCTTTCTTCCTGCATGGTGCATCCTAGTCTCTTTAAGTTGTAACTGATTAGATTAATTGGAATTATCCAGTATAAATTGCGTTTCCACTAGGATTTTTGTAGGAGGGACAGATTATGAACTAGTTCACTTTTAACCGCATACACAAGAATCCAAACCTTTTAACTAGACAAGAAAGACAAACTCTCAATATCCATAGAACCCAGGTATAGCCAAACATAAAACCTCTGATGTTTTAACATGCATTGTTGAAGGCAGCTGCTAAAGCAAAAGACAATTGTGTTTTATTAGTAGAAAAGAAAAAACCAACATGAGCAAGGATATTATGGCCATCTAACAATCACAATGTCGGTACATATCCAGACAAGTTAACAAGATGGATAAGATGAAGTGCTGGTTAAGTTAGATTTCTTTAAAAAAGGAAAAAATTTCTCACTTATGTGCTTGATGCCAGAAAGCTGGAGGCCACTGAGCTGGAATTGTTTTCAACCATTGCAAGCATTCATTGAATCATATAAGATGCATGTATCCTTCCATAATTCCTCAGCTTATATGAGCAGGAAAATAAACTGCAAAAACATGGATCCTTGCTACATAATCTCTTTACCCACAGGATCAACAGAGAAATGAATGGGAAGCTTTTTCCTGATGAAGGGTTCAAATTTGGTGCTCCACATCTGTTATTTCAAAGTTAGAGATAACTCAGACTTTTATCATTTGATCTGCCCTCTTAATATAGGTGCAACAGCTAGTACAATGATCAAAACAAAAGCTAAATTCATTTAAAAGAAATATATATATATATATATATGTACACACACAAACTTGACTTTAGTCCTTGAAATTCAAAAGGTTTCAAATTTCATAAATTCTATGCCAATAACAACTTAAAAATTCTCAAATCTCAAAATAAATTTGAGTTCTCTTGTTAGTTTTGACAGGAATAATCAACTTTTGAGGGCCAAAATTTAAGAATTTGTACTAGAAAATTTAGTAGCAAAGAATTGATAACACAATGTTGTAGGAAATGCACCATATAAGCATAATATAAGTCAGTCTCCTTACTTTGTATTCTGCGCTGCTCAAAAATATCTCAAAAGCTTCAACTGCATAACATACCAGTAAATAGCAATCAACAGAATGCACCATATAATCAAGATATTACATAACATGAAACATAACTCACGTGATCGAAACCGTATTACTACTCCATGTGAGAATTCCTCACTGCTGGGATTAATATTTGAACCTGACAACAAATATAAATCATTAATAAGAAACGATATGCAATTACAACGTCACATATAAAATATTGATTGACCACACAATGGAAAAGTTTAATTAACCCAAAATGAAGTATCCATTGTGTATGCATGATTGAAACTTGAATGGCTTTCTAGTTGACCAGTGCCAGATAGCATGTTAATTTTATGACTGGAAAAATCAACTTGGACATTCCTCATTTTATACTCACCCTGAGTAGTTTGGACAATTAGAGATGGAAAATCAGCAGTCAGTTTTTCAAGTGATGCCAATGCATCTTCTACAGGTCCACCAAATGCACTCTGAGCAAATGCTATTAGAAGCACAAACTCTACACCAAAGTTGAACTCCTGATACAAAAAGTAGTTAACTTATTTCAGAAGTTACCATCAGAACTGATGACTAGAAATGTATTGCATTTGAAAAAAAGCAGAAGGGAACAACTGGTTATTGGTGGGTTCTATATGGATATGAAAGCAACTATAATCCTTTTCCAAAATTTATGATATTTCTTTATTTTCATAATTAAGCAGCACTTATCCATAGGATATCCTGAGGTTAACAATGTGGAAATAATTAAAAGGACCGAAGGAATTCTCATTCATTACAGGAAGTAACTTATTAAACAAAATTTGATTAGACATGCCGTATATAAGCATAAATAGGTTGTTACTCAATACAATGTTATTTATTCAGGTTTATGCTGTATCAAAAAGTCTAATGCAGCTCTAACCTCTCCTTTACGAAATATGGGAAGGATATCATCTTCAACTTCCGATTCAAAATCCACGTTAATCATTCCCTGTAATATTTGCAGCAAACATGAGTCCATAAGCAGCATATTTAAAAAAAAAAAAAAAATTCACGAGTAATGAGTTATTTCAGGCTATGGAGTAATGGTGTTTACATGTCAGGGCATACATGGCAGTAAGGCGTCACATGCTCCTTGAGAACTTTCAAGTAAAAAGAATTGTCATAGAACTTCAGTAGGTCTTCCTTTCTTTGGAAACGCATGAAGACAGCATGAGTATAATTTTCAGTATTTTTATTAGAGATGCGACCTACAGGAATAAAATTAAAACATATCATACAAAATGTTCCAAAAAATACATATGACTGCCCCAAAATCCACATATTAATGCACATTTGACAATTATAAGGCTCCAAAATCCAGAACTCTTTAAGTTAAATCAAGTAACAAGGTAACTTACCCAAAGAGATTGCAACGATACCCGCCATCTGATATTGCGATGTATAAAGATAATCAAGCATATTGTTCTCTTCTTCATCAGATAAATCTTTCTTTGCTTTGAGTAGACATATATGTTCTACCACTTTTCTAAAATTAATAAATCAGAAATTATATAAGCACAAAAATAATCTAATTGCGCACTATAGAAATTAAAAAATAATAATAATAAGAGATGGGAACCTCCTTTGTTCCACACTGAAACTGGAGCTCTGCTCAGCTGAAAACGACATTATAGAACTCCTCTTCCTCTCGCGTGATAGACGCATGTTCATAGTTTCATTCGATCGTGAAACTATAAAAACAATTTTTTTTTTTTTTAAAAAAAAGAAGAATAATTAACGAGAAATTCATCACATCAGATACTGAATTCAGAAACTCACCGTTTAAAGAAACGGAAGGCGTAGAAAGAACGGGGTTTTGCCGTCGACAATGTGAGAAAGAATTGGGAAACTGGTTAAGGGTAAGGGCTTGAGTGGGCATTTTTTATTGAAGCGATGCAATTATTTGATTTTTGGTTTGATTTATGAACTTGTGTTGTGTGAGCGTGAAGAGAGTTGTTCTCTAATCTTGTAACTGAAGAAGGCTTGCAGAATGGGTGGACATGGAAAATAACGAATTTTAGGCTTGGCGCCATCCTTCTAAGAAATTTTATGAAAATAGACCCTTCAAAAAAATTTTTTTTAATTTTTTATTTGAAATATGATTTATGTCATCATCATATTCAGTAACTCAACTGTGAAACTGAACTACTATCAAAAAGAATTTTGATGATTATCATTTATCTGTCATTTTTGTAAGGCTAATTCTTTCCTCGTCTTAAGATATCAGTAACGGAGAAATTAAACAAATCACAAAAAAATGATTAATATAAAATTAATTTTTAATAAATTAAGAAAGAAATTAGAGCTATAAAATTATTTATTTTCCATGGTTAAGCAGCCATGGGCCTGACACCTATTGTCTCATCAGATTTGGGTCCTTCAAAGCCCAGATAAACAAGCAGTTTGCCCAGCCACTAGCTAAAAACGTGTTCGATTACTTGCTGGAAACAACTTTACTTAGCTTAGCTTAGATTGTTATCTCTTGTTTGTCGGATTTATGCTGTTTTGTCGTGTCTTTCTTGAGTTTTGTCTACTTGGCACTTCAATAAAAAAACATGTCCTTTGCTTTATTCAATTCTAAGAAGTGAATGGAAACTTCATATCTAACTTCTAAGAACGGCAAAGAAATTTCTTACAAAAAACAACTTCTGAGTTCTGAGGCTTATCCAACTAAAAAAGTTGATTAAGAAATTGAAGTTCAAGAGTAAACGACATATTCCCACCCAAGGTTTGACGAAAGCTCAAGTTAGTACTCCAGGTTACATTTATTTCAGATTCTCACTCTTAAAGTGATAGAAAATTATTTGATATAACTGTAAAGGGGTAAATTGATCATTTTACATGGATGGCATACGTTAGCAGATCGCGTCCTCTAACGGTCCTTCGGTGCACGTTAGCAGACGGCTTCCCTACATTTTTTGCCCTTTTTCCAGCGATTCTTCCACCCAAAATCACCATTGTCACCACCATTTGAACCCCTCATCCTCCCCTCCACAAAACCATACACTACACAACCTCTCATCACTCGCTGATCATCAACTACGACAGCAGCGACACGCCACTGGTTTTTGCCCATTTTCGATCATTTTGAACAGCGAAAACCCTAACCACCACCACCATTTGACTCATCGCATCCTTCCCTACGAAACCCCTAACCTTCCTAACCACGGCAACTCACCGTTTGTTGTCCACCACTTCACCAAAAAATGGTCGATGAACACGAACTCTCAGCCGACGAATGGCGACGAAACGATTGCTGGGGATAGATAGTGGTTGCAATGGTGGTGTCCAATTGGATTTTCGCCGCCGAAATTGATCAAAATTCAGCGAAGAACATCGAAACCCTAAGCCTAACTGCGCCGGCGATTGGAGGGGCCAATGAGTCTGGAACCAAAGGGGTTTTGGACGACGAACTATGGGGAAGGTGATGGAGGTGACCACGGGGTTCGACGCCGTCGGAAACAACCCAGATCGAGCTGTTTCCGACGAGGGTGTGTAGTGACCGAGGGTGTTTTTAACATAATTTGAAAATAAAATGGTAAGTTTTATAATTCTACTAATTTAGGGGTTAAAACATAATTTATTAATTTAGGGTTAAGGGCATTATGGTAATTATACCCTCTAAACCCTAAAAAATGCTAATACTGTTATTTTAAGAGTAGAAATTTGGAATAAATGTAACCTAGAGTATCAATTTATGATTTGGTTAAACCTTGGGTTGGAATTAGTCATTTACTCGAAGTTCAATTAGGAAACTGCTGGAAGTTTCAGCCTATCCACCTGGACTAATTAACACCAACTGTTTTCTTAGTGGGAATTTAAAATTTGAAATCTGAATCTCTATTATACTTGTATTAAGTTTAATCACAAACACGTGTAAACAGGAGGCTCTAAACAATGACTTCAAAGAAAACTCATTTATGGTAACTTTTAGCCTGATGCATGAGCTGGCAAGAGCGTACCTAACTTATATAGCAGCTGTGTACTTGCAGTACTGTATTAGTTCACTTTTTGGAAGTGAATTCATGATTCATCTCCCTCGTGCTTTAACAATCAATAGAGAAACGAAGGAGTTGGGTTGGGCGGCTTTTGCTTTTATAATTGAAGATAGTAGATGGGCACCTAGACTTGGGTGATGGGGATTAACCAAACTTACCTACCAGATTGACAGTTTGGTAGAGCCTTATGGTTTATGAATGAATGAGCGGCACTTTACCCACTAAAACTCAAGATAGGATTAGGTTCTGGGCATTCAGTAACCCTCATCTCGATCTTCTTTGACTTTCACAAATTCCACCACTCTCTTAATTTTAACCAGAAATATATTATGCGGACAATTGTGTGTAAAGAAAAGACAAGAGGTAAATTTATGATAATAAATAGCAAGAACTTGTGATTGAAGGAAGTAACAGCCTATCTTTGTCCCTCTGAAAATTGAGGTTACTGCTAATTACAACAGAGTCCTTTTTATATGTACAAGAATTACTAATATTGTTGTTTAAGAAATCCAACAAATTCGCACTATTATTATTAACATATCTTTCTTGCTCCTCCAAGCTACCACTAAACGAATCCACTACTGACCCACAAATCATATCATCTTTGCCTTCAATGTCATCCATAATTGCATTGCTTTCCTCATTGTTGTTCCCTCTAATTGTCATCCAACTCCCATCCCAGTCCCAACTGGGCCCCGAGGAACACGTCAACCCTCTGATTCTCTCACTAACGGAGTCCTCCTGGGAACTTGAATGGATCAGATTTCCCAAACTTTCTTCCACTGAGTTCCAGATACCTTGATCGAGAATACTTGTGGGAGAATTTGATTCTTGAATTTGCTTTGTAGAAGAACTGAATTCTCCAAGAAATGGATGCTTAAGAAGTTGAGTAGCTGTCCATCTCTCTTTTGGATCTCTTCTTAAACACTTTGACAAGAAATCCTTTGCTTGATTTGATAGAACATCTGGAAACTCTGGTAATTCACAAGAGTAAGCAATCCTGTAAAGAACCGTTACTGGGTCAGTGGCGTCCGGCCAGGGTGCACCACCACTGGCCATTTCAATAACAGTGCACCCAACTGCCCATATGTCACTAGAAAACCCCTGGTGTTCCCCACGCGCCACCTCAGGTGCCATAAACATCGGCGTGCCACCACTCTGCCTCTCCTCTGAATCCCACTTGGCACATCCGAAATCTGCAATTTTGGCGCCATCTTTGCCAATCATAATATTTCTACCCTTAATGTCACAATGTACCAGCCCATTAGAATGTAGATACTCCAGACCTTGTAATATTTGACGTGCGTAGCACGCGATCATAGACTCGTCTAGCCTGCCACCGTGTCGGTGAATAGCGTCGGTAAGCGAGCCGCCAGGTGCATACTCCATAAGAAGATTGTAAATCAACTTGCTGTTCTCACTAGTAATATCACAACCCTTGTAGCTAACTATATGGGGAGAATTTAAAGAAGAAAGAATTTTTTGCTCCCTTTGTAAGAATTCGGATTGGGAAATCTGTGTGGACTTGACGGCAAAGACATCACCTGACGGGATGGTAGTAGCCAGGGAGACGGTGGCTGTGGAGCCATGGCCTATGGCGTGACCTCGAGTCCAGTCCATTTGGTGTGCTGAAAATGAAGAAGAGAGGTTTGTTGGTCTATTAAGTTTGTTATTACAGAGGGTTTACCGTTTATATATATATATATATATATATACAAGAGAGGCAAGAAGTGGTATAAAGTTGAGATTTTTAAAAGGATGGTTGAGTGACTTGGCTCTCTCTCTTACTCTTAAAAGAGTTGACAATTCCTTTAACGTGAGTTCAAAACGTGTCAAAATTTGGTTGGGAGTTGACAGCTTTGGACCTGTAGTCGGTGATGACCTGGTTCCAAAACTGGTTGACACGTGTGGAGGGTAGAACTAGAACCTAACTAAGAGTGTAGAAATGAGTGAAGAGATATAATTTGATTTGGTTTGGTGACAAGTGGTGAGGGGTAGATTGGAAGGATAATCAAAATCTGATATTGTTATGCGTTTGTTGTATTAAAGTATGAATGAGGGTAGACTTTGAAAATTGAATTTAGGAAATTAAGGCGACGGCGAGGTGGGTTGAACCACCAGAAATTGGTTGAAATTTTGTATCAAAGTAATGCAAGATTGGATGCTGAGAACTTTGTAATTTGTAAATGGGTATTATTTTGTCAATTGTCAAAGTCAAATACTGGTAATATTTTTCACATGTGAAATTGTTTTCACATTTGCAGCATTATCCAACATCATGACGTTGTTTTCTTATGTTATAGTAACAAATTTCCAGTTTCCTTTTCAATGGCATTTTATAATTAATCATATTTGATTCAACTGTTATAATTCAACGTTATCACATTAGAGTTTGGTAATAAAAGAGTTTTGGAGAATAATTGGATCAAATTCGAGGATTATGCTACACACCAAACCTGCCCACTTTTTTCTAGAACGTCGACGCAGGGAACGGCGTGTAATATTTCAAACCCTAATTGTTTCTTAATCAATCAAACTTAATTGGAGGAAATTTGTACTCCAAGTAAAGTAATCATATATATATATATATATATTGGACGTCAGTAAGTAATGAATATACATTAGTCAATCCTATTAATTATGTAATTGACCCACTTGGCGAATAAAAGATGCAATCATTTCCATTAAAAGTGCACTTTAAAAAAATCCTTGATCCATCGGGAATATAAAAGCAACTTAATTAGATTAATTAATTTTAACGGGATTGAATTTCGGTAGAAAATAATAATAACAAACACATGTAGTAGTCAGGCAGATGGGAAGGTGCGGTTGGTATGGAGGAGAAATTAAGAAGAAGCTAAGAGGGAATCAACCAGCAAATCCAAAGAAAAGGAGTTAAAAGAAGGTATAACTAATTATGCGAAAACCGAAGCAATGAGGTGAGGTGAGGTTGGGTGGGGTTTAGTTGTTAAACAGTAAAACCCATGCATTAAAGAATCTTGTTTCCATTACACTAACTGCTTGTCTGTATCATATTTTGTTTACAGTTCAGTTCGTTGGACCAATTTGCTTTTCATATTATGCGTGGCTTATAATATAAGATAGCCGTTGCCTTCGCCTTTGCCTTTTAAATTAAATCATCAAGTGAGAATAGAACAGAAGAGGCTTTACTCACACGCAACTCACGTGTATTCTTCTTCTTCTTATTATTAATTATATTGTTGTGTAAGCCTTTGCGTATTTATGAGACGTAAGTAAGTGGGGCCCATTCTTTTTTATCTATATCTATACACTATAGTTATAGTTGAAAGCAGAATGAGGTAACACGTGTTTATTCAAAATCGGTGAGCACGTTTTTTATACGTGGAACGGTGTGGATATCATTATGCATGTGGCTATGAAATTGGTAACGTTTACATGCTTTTAGTGCAAGTGAGTACCTCCAAAATTAGGTACTCTTATAACTAATATTAATATATTATCAGTTTTTTATTAATAAATAATTGCTGAGATGGTGGGTCTTTTTTTTTTTTTTTTTTTTTTAATGCATGTTGTTAAACCCATATATACCATATGATTCATATGCTATGTGAATAATAATATGATCGATAAACTATATTATTTTAATTATGATATCTAATTCAATATCTCTTATTAAATTATGATAAAGATAATCTACCTATTTTTGGTTTTTTTTTTTTTAAAAGAAAATCTTATTTTTGTTTATTGAAAAAATAATAAGAAATAAATACAATTCTAGAGAGAAGAGGAAAACAACATTTTATCAGTGGGTGGTCCAAAAAGTAGATGATTTTTCGACCACCCACTCATAAAATGTTTCGCTCTTCTCTTTACAATTGTATTTATTTATTTATTTGTTTGTTTTGATGATGAGAAGGTTTAGGAGATTTATAGCCAAAAAGAAAAGAAAGGAGTGCAAGTGTAGCGTTCCTTTGCAATGATAAGGTTGTTGTAAGCCCGCGTTTTAATGCTTGCTTTGAACGTTACAAATGCTAAAGGCCGACCTTTTTAATTATTATTTTTTACACACGTGTATCTTCTATGTTTTTGTAATTCCTTCTAGAACCAAGATTTTCCCATTTTGGTCGTCATATTCATATATCAATCATGTAAGTAATTAAAATGTTTTATTTACTTTCTTATAATTCACAAGTTTATCTACAAATAAAATATGTTAATTTATAACTTTGAAGAATTCAATATTATTTACTAACCATAAATATACAATTGCTCAATAATTTATTAGTTGATGAGATAACCATCGTTATCTTCAACGTGTAAAAACAAAAGTGCATAACACAACTCCAAAGAGATAGCTTATTAATCAAAAAGATTTACTCTCTTCATTTCGTTAAAGTACGCATAAATTAACTCAAACATTCTGGTTATAAAAAAAAAGTGCATAGCATAATAAGAACTATTATGTTTAAATAGCTTGACCCTAAGTTAACTGATTATAGTAAAATTATTTATTTTCTTCACATGCTAATAATTTGCTTTGATACTGCTACTGATTACAAATCAAACAAGAGTTGAATATTATACAACAATAAGAACATGAAAACACGAACAATTCCTATTGAATGAAAGCCAACAAGTTGTAGGAACCGAATTATATTAAGTGGAAGTGAAAATAAGACTAGTAATTTCATCAGTCTAACACGTATTCACAAATACAAAGTTTAGTTTAGACGGCATATGGAAAGCTTCTCCTGTAAGAACATGATGTATAATTTATGTTACAAACTGATATGATACGGAGACACAAGTCATATAGGGAAGAAGAATTGTGGATTTCATTAAGCCGCTTCAGCAAATCCAACTGTCAAGTCCCCGTAATTAAATACAGTGTGATATCGACCCATGAAAATATCTCCCAATATCCTGCATCAACCCAGCAACATTCATTTTATGTCCTTAACATGCTCCACTAATACAAGGCGAAAATCTTAATTTCCAACTCAATAAAGTGAAACTAAGTGCCCAAAAAATATTGTTAAGTTTTTATCAGCTGTAGTTTATTCTAGTTACTATAAAAGATGAAGTAACAGTATGCTGTAACAACAAATAGGAGAAAGAAAAATACCAGAGAGGACCACGAGGTGGGGCGACATCTAAAGCAATAAATCCACTGATACATTGTGCTGCTACTCCCTCTCCCACTTTAAGAACATACTGATTCATGACATCACCATCCAGAAAAAACATTGAAGAAGAAACCATCAGTATTATGTAAATAATAATTGCATACAGCACTGCAGAGACGGTAAATAAAATTAATTTCTAAATATTGTCATCCACCTCAATCAAGTCACTTTAGTTTCTTCCTCAAATACCATTTTATTCATTTATCACAACTTAAATTTTAAGCATTAACATTCAAACCCAGATAATCGCATGCACCTCCTCTCTTTCCAAATTCCTCTTTCTCTCAGAACATATATCTATTTTTGACCACTTTATTAGGAGTTTCAAGCTCTCTGACATTCTCCTAATTAACATTCACTCAAGATAACAAAATATATGCTCACTGTACATTAATGACACAATTCAACTACAGATACTATAAAATATAATATATAGGTCATATACACATGATCAGGTATCTTACTATATTTACGAAATTGCATCAAGCAAAGCTCTAAAAAACAAAGATGCAACAAACCAAAAAAATCCAAGATCTTCATCTGCAATTAAACATGTAACATTTAAGCTTAACACTGGATAATCAAGTGACAGATAATAGACTTATGAGTAGCATTGCAATCATGACTATTCAATATTTATAATTCCAATGCCTTAAATTCAGCAGAACACCATACCTGATTGGTGAAAGGTGAAACACTTTACCACCAATGGTGAATGACACATTGGGCTGGAAGATAGACTGCTACACTCAACAGCCGATTCTCCATTTGGACTGGGCAGTCGGTCACAAAGCTGCAATATAATCTATGGCATGAGCTTGAAGCAAGGCCACTTTTCCCCTGAATGTGAATAAGAAGGCTAATATACCTGATTCACGTAATCCAAGATTTGTTCTTCTGTCTTATTTCTCCTGAGCTGGTTCTGCATCCACACTACTGCCATCTCACAAGCAGTACACATAGTGTCCTGCACAGCATCAGATGACTTGTTGTGCTCTTATCTACACGCTCCAATGCCCATACTGTAAACATAGTTGAATTAATGTACAGAATAACAGATGTAACATAGTAGTTCCAGAAATAGAAAAATCATCACCAACAAGGGTAAAAATATATAACTATATTAAATAGGGGTGAGACTGACCTAACACCTCGAGTGCCATCAAAAGTGCAAAGAACCATTTGAGAGCAGATCTTTTGTGGTTGTGTCTATAAAAAACAGCGATAAAACACCCTTCAACTCATCAAAAGAATTTAATTAAAAAGGTGGGCAGATAACAAAACGGACGTAGCATGCAATCTAAGCTAAAATTTTCCTAAATGGAAGATTGGAAATGTTAAAAGGTTGCAAAAGGATAATGAAACCAAGCATCAGATTTACCTGAGCTATCAGCATTTCCAATATGGTTTTTCCATATTGATCAATCATTGTCTTGCATTCTTGACTTATAACACAGAAGCTCCAAGGCATGATTAATTTGTGTAATGACAGTCTAAAAATTCAAAGTCAAATAACAATATCAATCTTCTCAGGCAGAAGGAATTCAATTTTATGAAAAATACACAAAGGTTTTTAAATTCTCAACAGCATAATACTTTTTACAGGTGACAATGTATCAGACACTGACTTCAAAACCCAACACATTCTTTTTATAGGACAAAATTCCAGTAGGTACCCTTCACAACATGACTAGAAAAAGAACTGTGTATTATCTAAGAAGGAAAAACTTCTAAATCATAGCTATTCAAAACTTGAGGATATGCGTATGTTCATTGACAATTAAATGATAACTTAAAGAGTAAGAACAAAGGATGAATTTATAACTCCATTATATCAGTATTAATAAAAACTTCATATCA